GTTTTTTTAAAAATATTTTTGTTTGCAAGATAATCTTAAGTAGTCCTGAAAACTACGATTAGGATAAATTTTTAACCAAGAATTTAAAAAATGAGCAATTAAAAAAGAAAATTCAGGTGTGAGCCTCGGGACCCCCGGCAAAGGTAAAACTTCTAACTTTAATGCTATCAAACTCGGTATAATAAAAACCGAGAAAATTAGAGTATACCTAATTTCAATACAGCTCTAAAAAAGGTACTTTTGTGTAGTAATGCTAGACAAAAATTTCTTTGCATCTGATATGATTTCATATATGGACAATCAATTTTTGTTAGAATCATTGTATTCGACAAACTTTTTTTAAATTTTGGGTACCATAAAAGTAAAAAAATCTTCTCTCTCTGATTGATATCTGAAGGAAAACAATAGACATATAGCTATTTTCTTGTTTTCAAAGATAACATTGTCGTATTATACATATTTAGTACTTAAGTATAAATTTATGCACGTTTTTTTACATACATGTATACGTATGAATATGTATGTAATGACCAGGACGTGCAACACGTATATATGTCTACAAAATTCTTACGTATATACTTTGCCTCCATTATATAGGTACAGCTGTTGTTTTCCACTTTCCTCTTTTCTCCATATCTTTACCTCAGCTTAAACAAGCGCATCGGTTTAGAGTTCAGTCGTAGCGTAGAAGTAAACATACGAAAATACCTATAATATATGTATACGTACATAGGTATAGTACCAGTGTGAGGGGAAGGGAGAAACTGGCGTACAAGCAAGAAAAAGAGAGACGGAACGGTAGACAGTAAGTAGACTAACGCGCGCTGCAAAAGAGAGAGACGGAGCAGTGGAAGGAAGTGTGGAAGGGAGGAGATTGAGGAGAGGGTTTGGGCCGCAGGGTGGTTGGCTACATTTCTTCGTAACGCATTTTCCCTTACGTGGCTGTTCACCGCCCACCATAAGAAGTTTCACTTAAAAAAAAAACATGTGAGGTAAGCGTCAGCGTTGGTCGGTCGTGATCGCAAAGATACGCATAAAACTACTTTAATTGGCTTAATCGATTCTCCCAAATGTAATTCGGATGTTACTGGATGCTGCAGTGGAGTGTCCTTGGTGTACGTCGAATAGTAATACGTGATTAATTTTTATTTAAATTTCTGTTGAGTAAAGGGGGTTAAAAAGCAGCTCCGGATCCTGGTGGTCGCTGAACACAGATCACTGGTTTGGTTGATTAATTAATTTACTGAAGAGTACATATAATTCTAATTTTTGTTCAATTTCTTCTGCGTCAAAGCCAACAAAGCAACTTGTTATTTAATTTTTTTTCTTTCGAATTAGTATACTACTGTGTATATTTTTTATTTTAAATATAGGAAATGATTGCGTGTGATCCATAAAGAGCGTTTATGTGATGTCCCTCTGTGTTGATAAGTGATGCGAGTATTGTTTTGAAATTAGAGTAGGCTTTAATATCTGACAAGTAAAGGGTGATTATATTTTGTTTGTGTGAAATGAGTAAATATTATGTATGGTGTATCTAGATATGCAGTACCAATTCCTATCTTAAAAGGTGCTTACATGATTACCGACTCATCATTACATTCAAATCGTAATATCTGTATTCTTATAATTAAGACAAAAATTCACAAATTTTCATGATTGATTCTGATTTTTACTTTACACCGAGTCTTGCATAAACATAATTAATTATGATAAGATACTATAAGATTTATTGCTTTTAACTTTTTTTTCAATATTACTACTCATCTATCTATAGTACGAATTAATACAAGTTAGTAACGCTTCCTAACTTCTTTGCATCTGCGTGGGTATTAAAGAACGTTTAACCATACAATATTTTCTATTTCAGATTTATTTTTATACTTCATCTATGTAGATACATTTTTGGATTAACACAACTTAATCATACGATACACAATTATCTGTGAAAAAATGCGGATTTTTTAAAGTATAATTTTATAGAATAAATGCAATATTTAATGCAAATTGTATGATATGCTATTTGATATTTATTAATAGTCATACAAAAAGGTTAATTTTATGCAAATTGTATTCTTCTACAAAATCAAATATAATAATAATAAGCTGCATATATGAAATTTCATTCATGAGATAAGAACCTTGTTTCCTTGTTTTTAACTTGTAATCATTTTTATTGTGATACTGTACTTAGATAGTTTGGTTTCTTTGAAGCGTGTATCATTGAGAAGACTTCCATCCATACTCAAATTCTTATTATCATAAGTTTTATATAACAAAAGAACTTACTTTATATAATATACTAGCATCCCCCTCTCGGCTTCGCCCGAGACTCACTAAATGGAACACCGTAGTGTGTTCAAATGTAATGTCGAACGTTTTCAGTGAAAAATTATACATCAAGTTCTGACACTTCTAACAACAAAAATCTTCTAATGAAAAATATGTTGATTCAGAATCCCTACAGTTTATTCGGCCAATTAATAATCTGTAAAAATTAAAAAAAATCTAACCATACTGAAAAGTACCATGCTTTCCTTATGACATAAAGTAATAATTGGCTATAAGAGGCCATTGATTTGCAGTTCCTCTCGTATAATTTACGAAAAAGGCTATTTTTTAAAGCTGTAAAGTTTCAAAGCTCACAAAAAATTTATTGTCAAAAAAATTTTTTCTCTTATCTCATAACTTTATTACCAGAGCAACAAAGTCCTGAAGCTTAATTTGTACGTTATTTATCGGAACAAAAATACAAATACATATTCTATTTATTTATAAATCTAAAAGATTCAAGGGATTATTATGAAGGTTATAGTAAAAAGCTGATCTCTCACTTAATAAATTCTTTCGTCATTTTCTTGACACCTAAAATTGTATTCATAAGATGCGTTTAAAGTTTTCCTTCTAATTTGACTTTTTGTGACTTCTGGAATAGTTGAGACTCTTGTGAACCATAAAGGCTTTTTTTTTAACTTCATAAGGTTGTAAAATATTTGCTGGCAAGGTAGTTCGACGTCTGATGAACCTGAAAAGGACCAGTGATCTTATTAAGTAAAGTATTTCTTGGCTTAAGTTTCCAGCAAACGTGACTGCCTGAATAACTCAGAGTTTAAAGCTTTGGAGCTAGTGGTAGAGCTCTTTCCCAACGTCTCCTGGTATAACGTCGAAGACGGTGTCTTAAGCTCTTTTTTTTTCTACTCAGTTTTTTGGTGATCTCAGGTGAAAAGGTTAGTTCGTGATGCTTGCCCGTTGGTTACTGTTCCGTTGGCTCACGTTTATTATTTTTTCTTCATAGCTGTTAGGTTCTCCCAGTGCAGACCTTAAAGAGGATCGGTGATTCCTGGTTGAATGCTTAAAGTTAAGAGGGTAATATAGGGTCGACGGTCACCGGGGTTCCCAGTCTTGCGACGAACAACTCTGCTCGTGATGTCTGCTAGTGAACGACTGACTTGGTTTAATAGTGGCCGTCCTTACATAGTCTTTTAGTCGACAAATAGCTTCCGAAAATGGTAGTAAAAACGTATTTGCTGGCAAGGTAGTTTAAACTTAGGTGGCCCTTAAAAGAACCAATGAAATTGATGGTTAAGTAGGGAACGTAAATACTTATAATGGCCCTGAAAAGGGCCGGTGGCGAAACTTGCAGCTATTTCTTATTATCATTCTTGATGATGAAGAGCCAGCTGCAGGTAGCTTGGAGCTTATCCTTTGAGTCTCTGTGCACGGAGACCGTATATGAGGGAGATACGCTGCTGACCAAAGAATATCTCGTCTTAAAGTCATTCTCCAGGTAACCAACCATTCATCGGTAGTCAGGAAAGTGGGCCTGGAAAATACCTTCTCCGTAAGTATGCCGTGGGGACGACCACTAAGAAGGTCGTTGTGGCTGCCCATACTTTATAGGGCTGTCTTCCCTAGCTCGCATTTGAAGTAGAAAATTTTCTGACGGTACCAGGTCGGATGGTTGAACGGCCACAAAGCTCCAAAGTGCTGGAGCAGGTTGTGCTCTCGCTAGAAACTTTTTCGGTATTCCACCAAAGGCGTTGACATTCCGAATGCCTATTTTTTCGTCGCACTCGTTTATTACGGGGAACCGTGGTAGAAACCGATTTATTTCGCTTGCCCATAAAAGAAGAGTGTCATCGGTAGCTGGGATAGCCAGCTGCACGACGGACTCTTTTGTTCTTGGTGTAGTACCGATGATCGACTGCGACGATTGTCTGCTCAATGAGGCATTTTATAATCTTTCTTCACTATCTTTGGTTTCAGATGGCTTCAATTTTATCTTGACGCTACCTAGCGGATTCTACTGAACTTATGCGCAAACCTAGCTTATTTTAGCAAAAATTTGAGCTTACTTATCGCTATTGTTATAACCTTCTTAAAAAAAAGTTATGCGAAAACCATTTTGGAAGCATGAAGAATCAGTATGCAAAATTTTAGCAAAATCGGTTCGGTAGTTTTTGCAGTTAACGATTACAACAGTCTTAGCGACTTTGCTCTATATATTAGTAAGAAAATATTTATTGGAAATTAAATGTTAATGGTGTCATCCATCTAGTCTACTATATAATGAGTTGTGGAAAATCGACGCTGTAATAAATAACGGTTTCTCCTACCGTATTAGTTAAAATTTTGTTGTTAAAAAATTCTGTTTATACAATATAGTGCATCAATGTAATAGTATTGCTCGAAAAATCATGAATGTTTTTAAATAACATACATCATCTATTTTCTATTTGTCTGATATTCTAAAAAATTGATTTTCCTAACATTTAACATCAATTCTAAAAATACCTAATTAATTGATTAACGTAATACGTGAATAACATGCCAAGTATTTGAATACCTGATAGACTTTTCTACAATAAAAATTTTATTAAAGTTTTTACAACTAAAAGAGTTTGACGTGTGGTTGTGAATAAATACTTTTTTTTTTTTAATGTTTCAGAATCACTGTTTTCACTTTATCTTCTGGACATTGCCAATAAAATCAAATAATAAACAACTCCAAAATAAATAACCATAAAAAGAGTTTAGAGAATGGGAGAGAAAAGGTCAGTGAACAAATTTTGTCTCTAAATAAACGAAAAATACTGAACAATGTTTAACAAACTTTTAAGTAGTTCATAAGCAACAATTTTTTTAAATCACAGAAATTAATAATTTTTTTTTTATCATGATTTAAAGTAATTAATAACTTTAATAGTTTGGACTACTTGAATTGTAAGAAAAATCTATGTACAAAATAAGTAGTTTTAACAAGAGATTTGATTAATTAAAGTAATTGTGTAATTTCAATAAAATTAATTGAGCGTGACTAAAGTTAATGAAGAGCTCAGGCATTGATAAAAGTTATGGATATCATAGGTAAATAATAACATGAATTATACTAAATAAAAACAGTTACTAAACGATTATGTATTTTTTATAGGTTTACATTTAGATACATTATAAAACCAAATACAAATATAAGGGATTACTTAGAAAACACATT